CCCCCCCCCCGCCCCCCTCCCCCGTCAGATCTCGGAGGTCAGATCCTCGGGGCACCTTTTGTTTTTCCGGTTCCTCACCTGGGAAGGAGAAGAGGCGACAGTCGACGGTGCGGCCGATGGACTGCAGCTTGACCACATCCATGGACTGCCCCAGGTGCAGCGTGCTCGGGAGACTGCTGAGGGTTCCACGAACGAACTCCGCCACCTCCGTCACCGAGAACATGGGCAGCAACTCCTCGAAGATGGCGGGGAAGGAGCTGAGCAGGGCGGCCTGCAAGGAGGAGCAGACGTGTCATGGACGGACTGGGGGGGAACCATACAACAATGCATGAAAGAACACGGAATGCACACAACGCACAGCCCTCAGCACGCAATCCGTCATACAACTACAAGTCCCAGCATTCATTGTTGGAGATCACTGGACATCTGAAACCCTTGCACTGTAGCACTGGGAGTCTAGAGCGGGCGTGCGAAACTCAAACTTGAAATTGTTACCACAAACAAAAATGTATCCGGCCCCGCAGAGTGTGACAACGTTATTAATGTGACGCTACTACATGAGGTGTCTGCAATCCTCCATAACAGGCGTGCGAACCCTCGCTTCTTACCTGCAACACCCCAACAGATTCACAATGTAAATTGATTGATGTATGTGTGTGTGTGTGCGCATGCGTGCGCGTTCTCTCCCTGTGTGTATGCGTGCTCTCTGTTTGTGTGTGTGTGCGTGTGCCTGCTCTCACTGTGTGTATGTGTGCTCTCCCTGTGTGTATGTTTACGCTTCCTTTGTGTATGTGTGTTCTCCTTGTATGTACAGTATGTATGTATGTATGTATGTATGTGTGCTCTCCCTGTATGTATGTATATATGTGTGCTCTCCCTGTGTATGTGCTCTCCCTGTGTGTATGTGCGCATGCTCTCCCAGTGTATGTGCTCTCCCTGTGTGTATGTGTGCTCTCACTGTGTGTATGTATTGTGCTCTTCCTTTGTGTATGTGTGCTCTCCCTGTATGTATGTGTGTGTGCTCTCCCTGTATGTATGTGTGTGCTCTCCCTGTATGTATGTGTGTGTGCTCTCCCTGTATGTATGTGTGTGCTCTCCCTGTATGTATGTGTGTGTGCTCTCCCTGTATGTATGTGTGTGCTCTCCCTGTATGTATGTATGTATGTATGTATGTGTGCTTTCCCTGTGTATGTGCTCTGCCTGTATGTATGTATGTGTGCTCTCCCTGTATGTATGTGTGTGTGTGCTCTCCCTGTGTATGTGCTCTGCCTGTATGTATGTGTGCTCTGCCTGTATGTATGTGTGCTCTGCCTGTATGTATGTGTGCTCTGCCTGTATGTATGTGTGCTCTCAGTAACGAGCTGATGTATTTTTCAATCATAAACGTGCTGATGTATAATCCTTCCTCCCAGGACGTAGCCGATCCTATAAGGCCCGATATGCCGTGTTTGCAGTTTTCTGGGCACGGTAATGGCTTTCTCTGCATCTGTCATCACATAGACCTTGGGCTCATAAAGCGGATTCCCCCAGGGGGAATATGAGAGCTCTGGATGGGACAAACAAAGTCCTTTTAGTGGCTGCGGGTTAAATGTGTGTGCGTGTGCCTGCTCTCACTGTGTGTATGTGTGCTCTCCCTGTGTGTATGTTTACGCTTCCTTTGTGTATGTGTGTTCTCCTTGTATGTACAGTATGTATGTATGTATGTATGTATGTGTGCTCTCCCTGTATGTATGTATATATGTGTGCTCTCCCTGTGTATGTGCTCTCCCTGTGTGTATGTGCGCATGCTCTCCCAGTGTATGTGCTCTCCCTGTGTGTATGTGTGCTCTCACTGTGTGTATGTATTGTGCTCTTCCTTTGTGTATGTGTGCTCTCCCTGTATGTATGTGTGTGTGCTCTCCCTGTATGTATGTGTGTGCTCTCCCTGTATGTATGTGTGTGTGCTCTCCCTGTATGTATGTGTGTGCTCTCCCTGTATGTATGTATGTATGTATGTATGTGTGCTTTCCCTGTGTATGTGCTCTGCCTGTATGTATGTATGTGTGCTCTCCCTGTATGTATGTGTGTGTGTGCTCTCCCTGTGTATGTGCTCTGCCTGTATGTATGTGTGCTCTGCCTGTATGTATGTGTGCTCTGCCTGTATGTATGTGTGCTCTGCCTGTATGTATGTGTGCTCTGCCTGTATGTATGTGTGCTCTCAGTAACGAGCTGATGTATTTTTCAATCATAAACGTGCTGATGTATAATCCTTCCTCCCAGGACGTAGCCGATCCTATAAGGCCCGATATGCCGTGTTTGCAGTTTTCTGGGCACGGTAATGGCTTTCTCTGCATCTGTCATCACATAGACCTTGGGCTCATAAAGCGGATTCCCCCAGGGGGAATATGAGAGCTCTGGATGGGACAAACAAAGTCCTTTTAGTGGCTGCGGGTTAATGGGAAGCAAATCTTTGGCACAAATAGCACTCAGCAAGACGAAATGTCTCCGGTGTGCATTGATTGCGGGGGCAGCCAAGGTCACGGCGAGGAGGAGAAAGGTCACAGCGAGGCTAAAAATACCAGATATGAGGGAATCCAGACCACAGCAGACTGCAGACAATTGAGACCGCATCCCCGGAGCCGCCACCACCCCGGCCAATGTCCCATCTCCATCCTTTTATCAGGTCATTGCCTTCTCTGGGTCCGAACACTCGCTGGCATCTTTCTTCTCAATCCAGACTCAGCTTTTTGAGGGCAGGAATACAGTTTACATTCTACGGCCAAAAGTTTGTGGACCCCCCCCTGCAAATGATGGAGTCCCGGGGCCTCCAGTGAAGGTTCTGTTCATTGGAGACAATGGGGCTCTTCCAGCCTTGTGGTCACAGTTTGGTGAAGACCCTTTTCTGTTCCCCCCATGACTGTCCCCTGTGTACAGAGCCAGCTCCATACAGACATGGTGTCACCAGCTTGTGAGGGCCACTCAAGTTCCTCCACACCAGAGGCCCGACCTCAACCCCATGGAGCTCAGGAACACCTTATGGAACACACAGTAGATGTTCCACAGGAATGATTGAGTTCTGTTGTACAAAGCTCCATAAAGACACGGTGTGACCAGCTTGGTGGAGGAACTCGAGCGTCCTGCACAGAGCCCCGACCTCAACCCTACTGACCACCTTTGGGATGATGATAGTGGGCCGGGTCTTCTCATCCAATATCAGCACCTGACCTCACACATGGGACCTGACCTCACACATGACCTCACACATTCCCACAGACACCCCTCAAAGTCTAGTGCAAGGTCTTCCTTGAGGGGTGGACCCATTTACATAAAGATATAGTTTGAGCAGTTTGGTGAAGACCCTTTTCTATTCCACCATGACACCCTCCAAAATCTTATGGAAAGCCTTCCCAGAAGAGTTGGGGTGTTGCAGCTGCAAACGTGGGGCAACTCCACATTAATGGCCATGGGTGGAGGGCAACTGCATATTAATGGCCATGGGTGGAGGGCAACTGCATATTAATGGCCATGGGTGGAGGGCAACTCCATATTAATGGCCATGGGTGGAGGGCAACTGCATATCAATGGCCATGAGTGGAGGGCAACTGCATATTAATGGCCATGGGTGGAGGGCAACTGCATATTAATGGCCATGGGTGGAGGGCAACTCCATATTAATGGCCATGGGTGGAGGGCAACTCCTTATTAATGGCCATGGGTGGAGGGCAACTGCATATTAATGGCCATGGGTGGAGGGCAACTGCATATTAATGGCCATGGGTGGAGGGCAACTCCATACTAATGGCCATGGGTGGGGGGCAACTCCATACTAATGGCCATGGGTGGAGGGCAACTCCATATTAATGGCCATGGGTGGACGGCAACTCCATATTATTGGACAAGGGTGGAGGATAACTCCATATTAATGGCCATGGGTGGAGGGCAACTCCATATTAATGGCCATGGGTAGAGGGCAACTCCATATTAATGGCCATGGGTGGAGGGCAACTCCATATTAATGGACATGGGGGGGGGGGCAACTCCATATTAATGGCCATGGTTGGAGGGCAAGTCCATATTAACGGCCATGGTTTTGGAACATGATGTCCAACGGGGACACTTGTTACATTGACAACTAAGAGGGAATTACTCTCACTTTCCCAAAACCTGGAAAGGCCATTTGTGATTTTCATAATAATTACCAGCACACACACACACGAGCGCACACGCACGCACACGCACGCACACATGTACACACACACACACACACACACACACACACACGTGATAAGCACGTGACACATGAAACAAGCAGCGGAGTGTAAAGCACAAAGTGAAGGATCAGTGGAGATCTCTGCACCAGACATGGAACTCCGAGACCCCCCCTCTCCTCCCCCCAGCCGACTCGTCCACCACAGAATCCTTCTGTAACTTTTCATCTACGTTATTAACGGGCGTCCATTCATCTGATGCATTGTGCGGTGAGGAGTGGAGGGAGCGGATGGATGGAAGGTGGAGGGAGATGCAGAGGAAGCTGTGGGGGTGATGACGGGATCGGCAGTGTGTGTGCGGGTGATGGATTTGGTAGGTTTGATGAACATGAATTTTGCACATTCGGTGGCCCACAGATAAGAAGTTAACACATTCTAGTCCTGGGGAAGAGAAATCGGGGAGTGCAGCACAGGGTTGTCAGGTGAGCGCTGCATTCTCTCAGGTGCGCAGTACAGCGTTTTGAAGGGGGGTGGTGGTGGGAGGGGCGTCTACTTACGAAACAGACTGTTGACGGGCTGGAGGAGCCCCCAGTCTTTTGATTGTTTGACTCCCCCGTGCCGCTCGCCTCTCCTCCAGACGAGGCTTGCTTTAAATTTATCGGAGAGGATCAGGAGCAGAGAGGGGGGGTAGAAGGGGAAGCAGAGGGATCGAGAGGGGAGCGAGATCACATTTAAGGCAATTGAAATAATAATAATAATAAAGAGCCTCATAAAGCAGGAAATGATCAGAGAACATTCGGCTACAGACATAAGAGGGAGAAGTGGAAGCCTCGCTGTAACTGTTGCAATATTTACGTACAAGTCTTCTACAGCTTCAGTAGGGATCATCAGAAGAAACAATGTTACAGTTATATCGTTTGTCAGGTTTAAAAAAAAACCACAAGTCCATTGAGTTCATCCTAAAAGCACCCAATCAGAGCGCTTCTGCCCAGAAACCAATGGCGTGCTATGAGCAGCTTCCTGATGTTATTAAAGGAGACCCAGGAGGGCGGCAGTACGTACCTGTGTGAAGAGGAGGGTGTCAGAGCTACGTGTGTCCAGGCTCAGCACAAAACGCATGGACTGGAAGAGGTCGTGGATGCTGCAGCGGAACTGCTCTTCCTCCAGGCCTCCGGTGGACCGAGCAAAGAGCAGGCGAGACTGGACGATGAACTTGAAGAGGATTTCCAAAGCCTGCAATGAGACGTCATCGTTGTGTGATCTCCATGCCGGAGCTGATATGGTGACCAATGGGTTTGTGTATGAACAAGGGTCACGGCTCCTCCCCTGCTCCTCATTAAATAACATCATGTCCACATGAGGGGACGCTTTTTGGCACAGGAACAGGTCTAGAATAGGTCAAAGGAGCTTTCCTGACCATCAGGAACCATTTAAAGTCCACTGAATCCTTAAAGGAGAACTATGGGGTCAGGGCTTTTCCACATAGTTCTCCTCAGGGTCACAGGAGAACACAAACTAGCGTCCTCCCGTCACCCTAAGCTCAGTATATAGGGAGCTACAGCTCGCGGTATACTGAGACGCCGCAGCCGGGACGGATCCCGACATTGCTGTCGAGATCCACCCAGCTGCGGGATTGACAGCTGGCTCTGCCTATCCAAAGGCAGAGCCAGCTGTGCCCGCCCCCTCCCCCATCCGTTCCGCCAGTCAGCGCTGGAGGATCGGAAAGGGGAGGGGGGGGGATTTCTGCAGGGAGCCGTGAGTGAGAGTCACGGCTCTCTGCAGGGATAGATAGAGAAGTGAGCGAGCGCCGGTATGTGTTCCCTCACTTCCCGATCTACTGAGCCGACCTGTGACAGTTTCATTGTCACAGGTCGGCTCAGATTTTGAGGCTGAGAGAAAATCAATAGCCTCATAATTCTCCTTTAAAAACCATCAAAAAGCACCTTAATTTGGCCGTCCCCATTGACTGCCAATACATCTTGCAAAACATACTAATTATTAGCAGATTTCAGCAACGTGAAAGCTCTCTTTTTTATGTCGCCCCCATTTGAGGTGGACCAGCCGGCCATGACATGGAAGTGGTCAATGCTTGGCCAAATGTGATTTGTTTTGGGGTGGGGGAGGCTTGCTGTAAAGCTTGGCTGCAGCAATTCGAGGACATACACCCAGCGATAGTGTTTCCCCAAATCATTATATATATTGATGAGCTCTCCCATATCTCCCCTCCCCCCACACTGCTCACCCTCATGGCTTCCTGGATGTGGTCCTGCCGCACGAGGTCGGCCGATCGCTCCATGTACCACTTCAGGCAGCGGATCAGTTCCCTGAAAGAGAAAGAACACGGGCCCGCTTGTGTCACCCCATCCGACCAATCTCACAGCGACCTACGCAACCCTACTGTGCGAATCTTCTGACTGATATCTGCGATGCCCAAGTATCATGCACACTGTGATCAAATGTTTAAAGGAGAACTATGGGGTCGGGGCTTTTCCCCATAGTTCTCCTAAGGGTAACGTGAGGACACAAACTAGCGTCCTCCCGTCACCCTAAGCTCAGTATATAGGGAGCTACAGCTCGCGGTATACTGAGATGCCGCAGCCGAAGCGGATCCCGACAATTACGTCGAGATTCGCCCAGCTGCGTGAGTGACAGCTGGCTCCGCCTATCTAGAGGCAGAGCCAGCTGTACCCGCCCCCTCCCCCGTCCGTTCCGCCAGTCAGCGCTGGCAGATCGGAGCGGGGAGGGGGGAATCCAGCCCCTCCCCTGTCACGGCAGAGAGCCGTGACAGGATCGAGAGGTGAGCGAGCGCCGTTATGTGTTCGCTCACCTCCCGATCTAGTGAGCCGACCTGTGACAGTCTCATTGTCACAGGTCGGCTAGAGCTATGAGGTGAGTGAAAAGCACCCCCCTCCCCCCTCATAGTTCTCCTTTAAAAGCCAAGCTAGCCAGCACATTGGTGTATGGGCTTCTTCACGTGGCTCCTTCTCTGTGGAATGGCACAGGACCTCAGGACCGGTCACCAAATGTCCATTATTAATATCTCATATTTTCATCTCATTTCCCCAAACTCCAAGTCTTGCTTTTTACTCTTAATTCTAAGCCGATGACCCATCAAGAACCAAACCCAGTCCCTGCTGAGGTAAGCCCAAGCCCAAGACACATCGACAAGCCCAAGACACAACCAAGAATTCTTCTCCCAGTCCTAATGTGACCCCCATTTTATTTATTTATTACAGGTATTTATATAGCGCCGACAATTTACACAGCACTTTACATAGTTACACATTCACATCAATCCCTACCCTCAAGGAGCTTACAATCTAAGGTCCCTTATCTCACATACATACATAGAGGGCCAACTGAGAGAGGAGCCAATTAACCTTCCAGCGTGTCTTTGGAGTGTGGGAGGAAACCGGAGTACCCAGTGGAAACCCGCACAGCACCGGGAGAACATGCAAACTCCTTGCAGATAGTGACCTGGCCGGGATTCGAACCAGGCACAGGGGCAGGAGCAGTGCTGTAAGGCAGAAGCGCTAACCACTAGGCCACTGTGCTGCCCATTTCCCATGAAATCGGCCCAAATGACCCTCAAACCTTCCATCGCTTCCCCCAACACGTTCCAAACTTCACTGTCAGTCCTTTCACACCGTCTTCCCTCAGTCCACACCCACCTGTAGGCCAGAGCACCAGCGAAGTGTTTCTGGATGTAGGTGTCCAGCACTGGGCGGAAATGGTAATATTTATTGTCCCGCAAGAGGTTGATGATGAAGACCTGCCGAAGGAGAGTAAAAAGGAGATCTTTAAGAAGTGCGTAGAACCAAATCAATGCGCTTTGCGGACACGATAATTCAACAGTAAAAAGTGTGCGACTCGTATGAGACACAATGATGGAGCTCGGTGGGGCCAGAGTGTCCCAATCATCGCTGGTTGCCAGGGGAGGGACGCCATACAGGGCCGGTGATGTATCGAAAGTGCGAACTTATCGCGTTGTGGGACCGCATGACTTCCGGTTTCCTCAGAACTACGAGGTTTGCACACAAAACATGTTGTGCACGAGCGCCATCCACGGCATTGCCCTATACACATAACGCCACAGGCACATTTTATAGTAGAAACGCCTCTGGCTCCGAGATGTCAATATGCGAATCATGTAGAACATTTGAGGTCTGTACACTCGGCAGGATAAGATATTCAGAAATGTGCCGGCGGCCATGGTGGCGATTGTCTGTGCTCTGGGTAGCAGCCTGTGCCGATACGAGAGGTACCGTCACTCGTATAGGGAGCAAATATAAATACAGAGACTGTGCCAGAGGGGAGCCCTGGTTCTCTGAGGAAGGCCACCCATCTATCAAGCCGTTCCAACCCTGTACTGAGCTGCTGAATGAAAGCCGTCTCGTAGACATAAAATGCTCAGTCTGGGTTCCGTCCTCTCTCTCTATCGCCATGTTTACCCCCCCGAAAGGAGCAGAAGGGCACAAAATATATATCAAGTATTACTTCTCTCGATGACGCCCTTACCAGCGACTGGAAGACGAGCAGGCCGTACTTCTCTGTGTTGTCGTCGAGGATAACAAACAGCGTGTCCAAGATGTCCTGCAGGAACTGAGAAGAACAACAAAAAACATTGGAACGCCACCCCCAAAGAAAACAATCACCCCCCAAAATCACAAGAAACGTAAACATTTATCAAGAACGGTCAGGGAGTGAGGACGCCTGCCGACTTGGAAGACGCTGGAGGAAATGACCGGGCAGCAGAATATACCCAACAAGTTTCACATAATGTACAAATTGGGCTCAAAGGGATCACTATCATGCAAACAATTTGAAGTGTAGATGCTCAGAACTCGAGAAACTCTGGATCTAGGTCGGTCTCACTCCCCCCCTCCTCTCAGCGTTGGTCGTCTCTCTCTCCCTCCCCCCCTCCTCTCA